ACAGGATCTTTGTGATAATGCAAAAATTCATGGAGACTCAGCATCACATGTGCATCCTGCTGGCCCCTCCCACCAGTCATGATCTGCCTGCATTGCATAAAGAAGCACAGAGACCCAGTGATGTCATCACTGGATCTAAAATAAGACGTGTATTGAAAATGGAAACATTTTCATTAAAACTTTCATTAGTGTGTGTTGATGGGGGTGGAGGTCATTGAACATCATCTAGCCCAGGGGTTGGCAACTGTGGGCCTCCAGCTGTTGGTGAACTACAAGTCCCATCATGCCTCTGCCTTTGGGAGTCATGCTTGTAACTGTCAGTTTTGCAATGCCTCATGGGACTTGTAGTTCTACAACATCTGGAGGGCCACAGTTGCCCACCCCTGATCTAGCCCATTCCTCCCAAGTCTGAATGTCCCTGGTCTGCCCCTTTCATTGATTGGATTTCAGTTTTTTAATAGACTTTCAGGGTCAATCTAGGCCGACTGCCTGCCTAGGACCGCCCACTCCTCCCGACTGACACCCACCCTTCAAGGCATTCTGATATTTGTATAACTCCTCCCAAGAGCCAGCCTACTGCTTGCACCAGGTCTAAAGCAGGCCATACATGGGTCGAATTCCGAACCATTTTTCAATCGAAAACGTTCTTCGTTCTGTAATCCGATGGTGCCACCAATCATTTCAAAAATCGGCCGTTTTTCATGAATTTTCCCACATACCCGACAAACAAAATGGGGAGGAACCACGAAAAGTGGCCCACTAACAGAGTGAAAATCGGTCGATTATTCTTAGGACCGATTTTCAAACGAAAGATAATTCGGAATTCGACCCATGTATGGCCAGCCTAAGGGTTCTTGAGAGGAGTACTGAGGCAGAGGGCTGTGACGTTTTCAGGAAGATATGTTCACCACCCAGCTGGCCCCTCCCACCAGCCATGATCTGCCTGCATTGCATAGAGAAGCACAGAGACCCAGTGATGTCATGAAAATGGATACATCCAATTATTGCATTGAGGAGGGGAAAGAAGGATCAGAGAAGGCAAAATATAAGCAGATTAGAGATAAACAGTGGCTGCCATGTATACAACACACCTTCCGGTCCAGGGGTGGACTGACCATTTGGAAGCTCAGGCACTGCCTGAGGGCCCGGGGTCAGTAGGGGGCCCCATGAGATGCCCCTGGTACCTTTTTCATAGGCTTTTTTGAGTTTGGGCAAGGACACAGGGGCCCCATGATCCCTTATTGCCAGAGGGCCCCATGATCCCCTAGTGCCCAGGGGCCCCATGAGTTGTCAGTCTGCCCCTGTTCCGGTCTATGCGTTGTCATCACCTCAGATATAAATCAACTCTGAAGTTTACATTGTAACAACATGGAGTCACTGCAGTCCTCCCTGGAATCTGCGAATATTGATGCCTCACGGAAACATCACATTCCATGGCTAGATATGGAAGGACAAGGCAGGCCTGGCAGCGAGTCGTCCCAGCTGTGTGCTGTATGAAAGTACCGAGGAACGACCCTCCTGACTGTCAGACATGGGAGAGACCCCCACCTTGTACAGCAAACACATCAGGAGAGACATTCTTATGCCGGCCATAGACGGGTCGAAAATCGGCCGATTATTGCACCGTTAGTGGGTTAAATGGTCAGGGATTTGGCACATTTTTTTTAAGGAAGAGGAGGAGGGAGAAGGAGGGAGGACGAGGAAGAGGGAGGAGGAGGAAGAGAGAGGAGGAAGAGGAGGAGGAAGAGGAAGAGGAGGAGGGAGGAGGAGGAAGAGAGAGGAGGAAGAGGGAGGAGGAGGAAGAGGAGGAGGAGGGAGAAGGAGGAAGAGAGAGGAGGAAGAGAGAGGAGGAAGAGGAGGAGGAAGAGAGAGGAGGAAGAGGGAGGAGGAGGAAGAGAGAGGAGGAAGAGGAGGAGGAAGAGAGAGGAGGAAGAGGGATGAGGAAGAGGGAGGAGGAAGAGATGGGAGGAAGAGGGAAGAGGAGGAAGAGAGAGGAGGAAGAGGGAGGAGGAAGGAGGAGGAGGAGGAGAGAGGAGGAAGAGGGAGGAGGAAGGAGGAGGAGGAGGAAGAGAGAGGAGGAAGAGGGAGGAGGAGGAGGAAGAGGGAGGAGGAAGAGGGAGGAGGGAGAGGAGGAAGAGAGAGGAGGAAGAGGGAGTAGGAAGAGGAGGAAGAGGGAGGAGGAGGAAGAGGGAGAAGGAGGAAGAGGGGGGAGGAAGAGGAGGAAAAGGGAGAAGGAAGAGGGAGGAGGAAGAGGAGGAAGAGGGAGGAGGAAGAGGAGGAAGAGGGAGGAGGAAGAGGAGGAAGAGGGAGGAAGAAGAGGGAGGAGGAGGAGGAAGAGGAAGGAGGAAAAGGAGGAAGAGGGAGGAGGGAGGAAGAGGGAGGAGGAAGAGGGAGGAGGAGGAAGAGGGAGGAGGAAGAGGAAGGAGGGAGGAGGAGGGGGGAGGAGGAGGAGAAGTCTACTATTATATTTTATATGAAAAAGTCTTGCAGTTGCAACAAATGCATCCAAATAAAAACATTGTAATCCAAATATTGTATTTGTATTGCTGTCACATTGTATGGTGCGCTCCCGTCTCTACAAGGGACAGAAGTTATGGGGTTAATGCCGGCCATAGATGGGTCGAAAACCGGCTGATTTTTTTAACGATGGTGGTAACTTCGGCCGATCGAACGACCAATTTTTCGTTTTTGTTTTTTTATTTTTAAATCGACCGATGTTCGACCCATCTATGGCCTGCTTTAGAAATCGATCCGTAGTTAATTTTACAGCACCACTGATCACTTGAGCGCTCAGGCTGTAAAGGTGGCAATCGGATCGGTAATCCCCATATGATCTCCTTTAGCAAAGTCCAAACCCCCCCTTTAGCAAAATCATGGCCCCCAGATTGCAGAGTGCATGGCCCCCAGATTGTATGGCCTCCAGATTGCAGAGTGTATGGCCCCCAGATTGCAGAGTGTGTGGCCCCCAGATTTCAGAGTGTATGGCCCCCAGATTGCAGAGTGTATGGCCCCCAGATTGCAGAGTGTATGGCCCCAGATTGCAGACTGTATGGCCCCCAGATTGCAGAGTGTATGGCCCCCAGATTGCAGCAGAGCGTATGGCCCCCAGATTGCAGAGCGTATGGCCCCCAGATTGCAAAGTGTGTGGCCCCAGATTGCAGAGTGTATGGCCCCCAGATTGCAGAGTGTATAGCTCCCAGATTGCAGAGTATGGCCCCCAGATTGCAGAGTGTATGGCTCCCAGATTGCAGAGTATGACCCCCAGATTGCAGAGTATGGCCCCCAGATTGCAGAGTATGGCCCCCAGATTGCAGAGTATGACCCCCAGATTGCAGAGTATGGCCCCCAGATTGCAGAGTATGGCCCCCAGATTGCAGAGTATGGCCCCCAGATTGCAGAGTATGGCCCCCAGATTGCAGACTGTATGGCCCCCAGATTGCAGAGTGAATGGCCCCCAGATTGCAGAGTGTATGGCTCCCAGATTTCAGAGTATGGGCCCCAGATTGCAGACTGTATGGCCCCCAGATTGCAGAGTATGGCCCCCAGATTGCAGAGTATGGCCCCCAGATTGCAGACTGTATGGCCCCCAGATTGCAGAGTGAATGGCCCCCAGATTGCAGAGTGTATGGCTCCCAGATTGCAGAGTATGGCCCCCAGATTGCAGACTGTATGGCCCCCAGATTGCAGAGTGAATGGCCCCCAGATTGCAGAGTGTATGGCCCCCAGATTGCAGAGTGTGTGGCCCCATATTGCAGAGTGTATGGCCCCCAGATTGCAGAGTGTATGGCCCCCAGATTGCAGAGTATGGCCCCCAGATTGCAGAGTGTATGGCCCCAGATTGCAGAGTGTATGGCCCCCAGATTGCAGAGTGTATGGCCCCAGATTGCAGAGTGTATGGCCCCAGATTGCAGAGTGTATGGCCCCCAGATTGCAGAGTGTATGGCCCCAGATTGCAGAGTGTATGGCCCCCAGATTGCAGAGTGTATGGCCCCCAGATTGCAGAGTGTATGGCCCCCAGATTGCAGAGTGTATGGCCCCCAGATTGCAGAGTGTATGGCTCCCAGATTGCATAGTGTATGGCCCCCAGATTGCAGAGTATGGCCCCCAGATTGCAGAGTATGGCCCCCAGATTGCAGAGTGTATGGCCCCCAGATTTCAGAGTGTATGGCTCCCAGATTGCATAGTGTATGGCCCCCAGATTGCAGAGCGTGTGGCCCCCAGATTGCAGAGCGTGTGGCCCCCAGATTGCAGAGCGTATGGCCCCCAGATTGCAGAGCGTATGGCCCCCAGATTGCAGAGTGTATGGCCCCCAGATTGCAGAGTGTATGGCCCCCAGATTGCAGAGTATGGCCCCCAGATTGCAGAGTGTATGGCCCCCAGATTGCAGACTGTATGGCCCCCAGATTGCAGAGTGTATGGCTCCCAGATTGCAGAGTATGGCCCCCAGATTGCAGAGTATGGCCCCCAGATTGCAGACTGTATGGCCCCCAGATTGCAGAGTGAATGGCCCCCAGATTGCAGAGTGTATGGCCCCCAGATTGCAGAGTGAATGGCCCCCAGATTGCAGAGTGTATGGCTCCCAGATTGCAGAGTATGGCCCCCAGATTGCAGAGTATGGCCCCCAGATTGCAGACTGTATGGCCCCCAGATTGCAGAGTGAATGGCCCCCAGATTGCAGAGTGTATGGCCCCCAGATTGCAGAGTGAATAGCCCCCAGATTGCAGAGTATGGCCCCCAGATTGCAGACTGTATGGCCCCCAGATTGCAGAGTGTATGGCCCCCAGATTGCAGAGTGTATGGCTCCCAGATTGCAGAGTGAATGGCCCCAGATTGCAGAGTGTATGGCCCCCAGATTGCAGAGTGTATGGCCCCCAGATTGCAGAGTGTATGGCCCCAGATTGCAGAGTGTGTGGCCCCCAGATTGCAGAGTGTGTGGCCCCCAGATTGCAGAGTGTATTGTCCCTGTACAGGGATAAAGTTCACCCCCCTCTTCTACTCACCCCAGTACTCTGCTTCTTGTTGTCCAATAGGGGAGAGTTATAGGTGGCGGTCAGGTTGGCAGAATTGAATAAGTCCCGTAGCTGCACCCGGGTCTCTCCCAGGAATCTAGAAAAAAAGCGATGATACATTTACCAAATAGAAATATTAAAGCCTAACTCCAACCAGACAATATTGTATAAACGACTAGTCCCAGCAATCCACCATGGAATGAAGATAAATGCAGGGAGACAGGTTTGAAGTCCAGCCTGGGTGACAACCGTGGCTCCCTCCGTAGATACAGCAGGGGAGTAAGCGTTGTCACCCTAGGACAGGAAGTGTGTTATTTGCAGGTTCTCTAGGTGAAAATAACTACCTGCATTGCATAGAGAAGCACAGAGACCCAGTGATTACATCATCAGGTTTAAAATAAAGAACGTAATGAAAAAAGAAAGCATTTTAAGAAACTCAATAAATATTTACATATTTATGAAGAGAGAGGGAGGGACCAGGGAAGGCGAAATATAATCAGATTACAGTTTAGTTTCTTCTAGGATAGGGATATTTTTGTTCTTTTATATGGATTCCATTCAAGAATGAATTGTGTTATCAAGCACACAGGGCGGGTTGTTCTGGGGTGTCACTCTCTTAGTTTTACCAATAGATGATTGTTAGAAGTTCAAATACTAATAAAAATGTGATGTTTGTCCCCGCTAGAGGATTCCCATCGCTTCCTGTCCTCACAGGATTACACCGGAGAAATCTGCTTCCCTCTGTTCAGGAGGATCAAGATTTGCAGATTCAGAACCCGGGACAGTCTGTACAGCACTGTATGGGATCCTGCGAGGATGGAGATGGAAGATTCCAACACTTCATCTGGCAGACAAACACCATAACCAGGATTATATTTATAGTCAGGGTGTAAATGGAGGAATTGTCCGTTCATACAAGGACTGTCACTTCTTCCCGAGGAACAAACACAGGAAATGGATGGAGGAAACCTCTCTGCCTGCTGTGAGTGATGGAGGAAAGAGACTCCCCACGACCAGCAAACACCGAGCCGTGGAAGAAAAACATCTTATCTCTCCACTATTAATATAGAAGGACGGGAACACCAAGAACCTTCCAGAACACAATGGAGCCCAGCTGGGCTCCGCTCACCAAAACTCCGGGGAAATTCCAGAGACATAGATAGATACAGTACATAGATAGACAGACAGATGAAAGAGAGAGAGAGAGAGGGGGGGAGAGAAAGAGAGAGAGAGAGAGAGAGAGAGAAAGAAAGAAAGAAAGAAAGAAAGAAAGAAAGAAAGAAAGAAAGAAAGAAAGAAAGAAAGAAAGAAAGAAAGAAAGAAAGAAAGAAAGAAAAAAAAGAAAAAGAGGGAAAGAAAGAGAAAAAGAGGAAGAAAGAAAGAAAGATAGAAAGAAAGGGAAAGAAAGAGAAAAAGAGGAATAGAGAAGGAAAGAGAAAGAAGGAAAGAAGGAAGGAAAGAAAGAAAGAAAGAAAGAGAGAGAGAAAATGAAAAAGAAAGAGAGAGAGAGAGGGGGGGGGGGGGGGGGGGGGGGGAGAGGAAAGAAAGAGAGAGAGGGGGAGAGAGAGAGAGAAATAAAGAGAAAAAAAGAAAGACAGAGAAAGAGAAAAAACATAGATAGATAGAAAAAGAAAGAAAGAAAGAAAGAAAGAAAGAAAGAAAGAAAGAAAGAAAGAAAGAAAAAGAAAGAAAGAAAGAAAGAAAAAGAGGGAAGAAAGAAGAGAAAAAGAGGAAGAAAGAAAGATAGAAAGAAAGGGAAGGAAAGAGAAAAAGAGGAAGAGAGAAGGAAAGAGAAAGAAAGAAATAAAGAAGGAAGGAAAGAAGGAAAGAAAGAAAGAAAAGAAAAAGAAAAAGAAAGAAAGAAAAGAAAGAAAGAAAGAAAGAAAGAAAGAAAAAGAAAGAAAGAAAGAAAGAAAAAGAAAGAAGAAAGCGAAAAAGAAAAGAAAAGAAAAGAGAGAGAGAGAGAGAGAGAGAGGGGGGGAGGGAGAGCATAGATAGATAGAAAGAAGAAAGAAAGAGAGAGAGAGAGAGAGAAATAAAGAGAAAAAAAAGAAAGACAGAGAAAGAGAAAAAACATAGATAGATAGAAAGATGAAAGAAAGAAAGAAAGAATGAATGAAAGAAAGAAAGGAAATAGATGAGAGAGAGAGCCAGCGAGGGATAATGTGGCTAGATATATAAACAGTAACACACGGCTGGGTTGGGGTATCGATGGTTCTCCTCTCTCAGGATGGGATCCATATCAGACTGGTGGACGTTCTGCAGATTGTGTGGTTGGACGGTGCAGTCTCTGGTCTAGCGGATATAAAGAGGTTCCGTTTTCCGGCTCAGGATGAACATCCATTAGCACTCTATACACCAGGACTCTCTGATCTGCAGTATGAGGGCCACAGCAGAGATTTTACAAATATTTGCGGGCCAAAAAATTCCGTTTTATAAATGAATAAATACAATGAAAGAACAAGTCCCCCTTATATCTAGGACCGACCAGCAGAGCCACCCCCTGTATTAAGCATTGCCCAGCAGAGTCCCCCCTTACATTCATGTGTGCCCAGCAGAGTTCCCCTTACATCCATGTGTGCCCAACAGAGTCCCCCCTAAATCCTTGTGTGCCCAGTAGAGTCCCCCCTTATTTCCATGTGTGCCCAGCAGAGTCCCCCCTTACATCCATGTGTACCCAGTAGAGTCCCCCCCTTACATCCATGTGTGCCCAGCAGAGTTCCCCTTACATCCATGTGTGCCCAACAGAGTCCCCCCTTAAATCCTTGTGTGCCCAGTAGAGTCCCCCCTTATTTCCATGTGTGCCCTGCAGAGTCCCCCCTACATCCATGTGGGCCCAGCAGAGTCCCCCCTTACATCTATATGACCCCAGCAGAGTCCCCCCTTACATCCATGTGTGCCCAGCAGAGTCCCTCATTACATCTATATGACCCCAGCAGAGTCCCCCCTTACATCCATGTTTGCCCAGCAGAGTCCCTCCTTACATCTATATGACCCCAGCAGAGTTCCCCCTTACATCCATGTTTGCCCAGCAGAGTCCCCCCTTACATCTATATGACCCCAGCAGAATCCCCCCTTAAATTCATGTGTGCCCAATAGAGTCCCTCCTTACATGGAGAGGGACAGCTCAAGAAGGTGGGGGCACATAAAGGATGGGGATAAAGCTGGAGCTCTCCTTTAAGAGAACATTTACTGGATTCCTCAGAAAGGATTCCCTGAACTCCGAGGTCTCAGGAAGCTGAGAGTTTATATTAAGCATTGCTGGGCTGTGATATCAATCTTCCTGCTGAGAATAGAAAAACCCGGAGAAATGGAGGAGGTCAGACAGAGTGGAATGAACTTCACACATCACAAGAGAAAGAATGTCTCCGTACAATTGGGGGGGGACACAGCGGAAGGGAGACTCTGGGGATCCACTTCTGTTCAACCTCCTTGTCACATAAATCCGCTCAATCAGCACTGCAGGCAACAGGCTGCAACACTGATCTGTGTATTCTGACAGCGGGGAAGTCTGTCCATGGTCAGAATACATTAGCACAGCGGGGAGGATTCCCCCATCCACTTCCAATGTGTGAATGGGGGAATCAGTTCACTTTATTTATTCAACCCGCTGGCTCAGCAAAAAGAACTGAACCATGTACGGCCAGCTTTACTGATCCAGCACTGCTTCCTCCTCCACTATATGACAAACCACACACTGCCACCTTATATACAGATTACTGACCCAGCACTGCTTCCTCCTCCACTATCAGACAAGACACACACTACCACCTTATATACAGATTACTGATCCAGCACTGCTTTCTCCTCCACTTTCTGACCAGACACACACTGTCACCTTATATACAGATTACTGATCCAGCACTGCTTCCTCCTCCACTTTCTGACCAGACACACACTGCCGCCTTCTATACAGATTACTGATCCAGCACTGCTTCCTCCTCCACTATCTGACTAGACACACACTGCCACCTTATATACAGATTACTGATCCAGCACTGCTTCCTCCTCCACTATTTGACCAGACACACACTGCCACCTTCTATACAGATTACTGATCCAGCACTGCTTCCTCCCCCACTATATGACAAGACACACACTGTCACCTTATATACAGATTACTGATCCAGCACTGCTTCCTCCTCACTATATGACCAGATACACACTGTCTCTTTATATACAGATTAATGATCCAGAACTGCTTCCTCCTCCACTATCAAACACAGGGGGAGATTTACTAAAATTGGAGCACTCAGGCTCTGGTGCAGCTTGTTCATTTAAGCTTTGACAATAAAACCTGGAAGCTGATTGGTTTCTATGCAGAGCTGCACCAGACTTTGCACTCTTCAGTTTTAGTAAATGTGTGAATGAGGGAATCAGTTCAGTTTATTTATTCAACCCGCTGGCTCAGCAAAAAGAACTGAACCATGTATGGCCAGCTTTACTGATCCAGCACTGCTTCCTCCTCCACTATATGACCAGACACACACTGTCATCTTACATACAGATTACTGATCCAGCACTGCTTCCTCCTCCACTATCTGACCAGATACACACTGTCGCCTTATATACAGATTACTGATCCAGCACTGCTTCCTCCTCCACTATATGACAAGGCACACACTGTCACCTTATATACAGATTACTGATCCAGCACTGCTTCCTCCTCCACTATCTGACCAGACACACACTGTCACCTTATATACAGATTACTGATCCAGCACTGCTTCCTCCTCCACTATCTGACCAGATACACACTGTCGCCTTATATACAGATTACTGATCCAGCACTGCTTCCTCCTCCACTATCTGACACACAGGGGGAGATTTACTAAAACTGGAGCACTCAGAATCTGGTACATCTGCACGGCAGCCAATCACCTTCTAACTTCAGCTTGTTCAATTAAGCTTTGACAATAAAACCTGGAAGCTGATTGGTTTCTATGCAGAGCTGCACCAGACTTTGCACTCTTCAGTTTTAGTAAATCAACCCAACACTGTCACCTTATATACAGATTAATGATCCATCACTGCTTCCTCCTCCACTATCTAACAAGATACACACTGTCAACCTTATATACAGATTACTGACCCAGG